GAGTAGTGTGAAATGAGTTATTCACATGCAATTCCGAAAAAATTTTTTAAGTATTAATATGTATAAATATATATAAACATACATAAATATTTATAAACATGTATAATCATATATATCCATACATATTCATACATCCCTCTTTCTTTTGTAAAATTATTTTTTAGTGTAATAGAAATAATAACGTAAAAACATAAAAAATAATTAATGGGATAATTTTCGCCTTGTTCATTTTAGAAAAAAACAAGTTTGGAAAAATGTTTAAACAAAATTACACAATTATGCATAATTTTATATGTAATTATATAAGTATTTTTTTTACACTTTTTCAAACTTGATTTTTTATAAAATAATGTAAAAATTATCCTTTTAATTATTTTTAATGTTTTTACATTATTGTTATTTCTTATTATATTAAAAAATAATTTTACAGAAGAAAGAAAAATATACCTTAATACAAATTAAACCGATTTATTAAAACAGACAAAGACATGGTTGATAAAATGAATAAATGTGAAGTAGTATACAAAATTGAATATCAAGATTTGAAGCTTATCAATCTACAAAAGCAACTATATATTGATAAAACTCAATATATTCGTAAGTGGAAAATAAACATCTAAATCTGATAAAAATCACAACGAAAAGAAAATGATGTAAATGTATATGTACAACATAAAGTACAGGCAAACTTAATTCATATTAATTTATTTATTTTAATTATTTTTTTCAGCTTGAAAAGAAATATATGTTTTATTAGTTTAATCATGTAGAAATAATAAAATATAAGAAGCATAGAACAAATTACCAAAATACCATCGAAATATTCAATGTGAACCTGTGTCTTCCCAGCAAACGAGAATGGATTAAAATGGATTGAAATTTTTTCTATCCGAATGCGTATTTTAAATAGCGAATACTTTTTTTGGATTTAATTGGATTCAATTGGATTCAATTAAATTCAATTGGATGCAATTGAATTGAAAAACTGCATTTCCTATTCAAAATTTTGAATTGAACAGTATTCACAATGCACAGAAAAAACTAATATTATTTTTAGATTGGAAGGCATAGAAATTTGTCCATGCAATTCCTATAAATAAATAAATGCATGCAATGAATAAAAATGCATGCAGGATTGAAAAGCATTCATTTTAACATTCGTGAATCAATATTTTTGAAAATCTGAATCTATTTCAATTCATTTTAATCCATTCTCGTTTGCTATATAAATTACGGTATACAAATTTTATATTATTGTAGATTATTTTTGGCACCTT